CTGACTTTGAGAGCCTGTCCGGTATGTTTGTCCTGCATCTTAAAAGCCGCTGAGTCTGTGCCCGAGGAGTGTTGTAAGAGACGGGAGTGTATGTGGAAGTGGAGAGGGCGAAGAGAGGTCATGCGTTGAAATACCCTTAAGCAAGGCGCTTGCCTTAACTCTTTCAATGAGAGGCTTGTTTTGCTACAAAAGCCAGAGTTTGTAAAAGGGCTACGAAGAGTCTGTTATGATGATATCTAAAGAGTGAGTCGTGTTTGGACTGGGTCTGATTGGCAAATAAAATGAAAACGTCTGGGTTTGAGTCTGGCCATGAGAGAAGCTACACTAATGAGTCCAGTCTGGGAGAAAAAGCGTAGAGAAGATGTTTTTCTTCAGTGGCTCCCATCTCCTCGAAAGCAAGTTATAGCAATAAAAGAAAATCACTTCCACTGAAAAGGAAAATGACACTCATATGGAAACTGAATATATGGAGTGTTTGGTCCTTTGCAGTCAGAAAGTACAGGTGAGGTACAAGTGGATGCTGGATAAGAGCAGGAGAGAATAAGAGTAGAGTTAATGTCTCAGTGAAAGAGGCGAGTGGAGTCTGAGTGAAAAAACAAAACCCCTGAAAGGACCACAGAGAGATTTCAAGGGCCCCTGGATGGAGAGAGCCACATCACAACAGCAGCAGTCAAGAGCAAAAGATGTAGACAGAGAAACGGGGGGGGGGGGATGAAAACAGTTTTTCAATAGCTAGAGTGGGAGAAATCAAGTGTTAGTGCGGATAAGAGATAAAAAGTAACAAGTAGAGCGTGCAAGGCGTTAGCAGCAGATGGAGAATGCGCGTCAGGAGGGGCATTGAGGGCAGATTAAAAAAAAAAACTCAGGGATGAATGTGAGCATCTACAGTCCACTTTATGTTTGTTTGCAGGTGTTTGCGGCTTATATTTACTGAGCATTTCAGAGCTATTGTGCATGTTGAGCAGTGTTCAAAGCAGCACTGCATGGTGAGGGGGAGGAGAAAAGCGAAAAAAAAGGGGGGCAGAAGTGACCTTACATGTCGGGGTCTTTGCTGGACAAGCCCCTAATGATCACAACTTGAGTTCTTGCCTTTTTAATTACCCACCCAGGCCTGACTGAGTCGCACAAAGCTGGAGAATGGGGTGGCACAAATGGAACAAAAACAGGCCAATTCCTCGGGAAGGATGCCCTCTGAACCCGGCAGCTAATGCAGCCTCTGCCGCTCCAGCCCGTCATTATTGTTGTTGGAGAGGACGAGAGAGATGGCACTCCAAAACAAGGCCACCGCCGCCGCCAAAGTCATGGTCCACAGGCCATGTGAGAAGAGTTTCAGTCGAGAGCTCCTCTGCGACGCCAGCACCAGACGAGCACCTTTAACAGATTGTGGTCCTGAACGTAACACATTATTAAACGCTTCAATTTGATATGAAAAACAAGAGCTGCTAATGGCTGATTCTTTGCTGTAACATTTCGTCACAGGCCCGGGAGCATGTAGGTTAGCCAAGATGGCGTCACCTCTCAGCATGCCAGGCTGCCCCTCCAGGGGAGGATTTAGAGAAAAACTCATGGGGTGTCAAGAGGGTGGCATGGAGATTTTAAAAGGTGGCAGAAGTATTTATGCTGATTTATTCAGAAACAATCACATATATCCGTAATAGATTGGAAATGCCCCTAAATGAAGATATATTTTTAACTTAAAAATATTTCTTTTGGCACAAGAAAAACCTTAAATAGACAAAAAAGCTGACTTGCCCTCCCACAAAACACTGTACTTTGCACTATTAGACCAGTAGGAGCCACAAAACCTATGCAAAGATCACTGCAATGATTATGGTAAACAACAAACAAGTCTCGTTTGTATTGTCATTCAGAAATAATATGAGTTATTTCCATTCATGTCTCAATTATAAGCCCAGACTGCAATAATCATGTGATGAAGTGTGGTTGTGCTAAACACAGCAAATGGTGCTCTGATGAAGAATGATAGGTCACTGACAGGTTCAAACATGACTGACAGTGGAGGAGTTTTTCCTCCTGTGATGATCAGTGTATGATCACATTTTCAAAATAAAATAAAATTCATTCCTCTGACTAAAAGCTCTGCTTCAAAGTAAGAGTGCTTCTTAGAAATGTAGTGGAGTCAAAAGTACAATAATTGTCTTTTAGATGTAGTGAGGTAAAAGTCATACCTTTAGTAAGTTATAAATATACAGTACTCAATTAAACCCCACCACTATCTATTTGCAGTTGTACTGTATTTCTAGTGGAAGTTGGCATCCCTGTACACAGCATCAGCTGTCACTGTGCAGCAGAAGCAGGGAGAAAACGAAGGGAGCTGCAGCCTGCTGCAGGGACAGCAAACAGCAGCTGGGAATAAATCACAGGGCTGTGTGTGCCTTTCATATTTTATGGAAGTAAAAATTTATTTTTGACTTTCTGTCTATCCCACATCTCGCTCTCATCCTCTCAACTTCTCACATAGCGGTCTACACGATGTTAATTAGCTTGAACTTTTTATCAAAACTATCAAACATTCAGAAACATTTGCTAGCTAGCTTATTAACTCAAACGGCCCAACGGCTCATCCACGGGTCCATCAAAAGGGTCTTCGGACGTTTGTAAATATAAACAGGCTGTACCTCTAGAATTCAAACATTCAGTTCATTTTGCGCGAACCATAACCACATTTCTTAATATCTACGAGCAATCTTGTACCAGCTGAGTGTGGTGCCTGCCTACCGTTTAGATGTGTAGAACCCCGCTCCATTCGTCCATTATTCCTATTCCTTTAGTCCATAAGGGTGCACAGGTCACAAAAATCAAAAGGGTTTCTTCATGAAAGTATTCCAGGTTATGAATATCGTCGTGAGAAGTCCAAAGCAGACAGCCGAGCAATTATCCGCTGCTCTTCCCTGATTTCTCATCTCCCTCTCCCTCAGTCCAACTCTGTCTTCGGCTGTGTTAGCGGGTCTGCTGTTTGTTAGCTTTCTGGCTACAAAATGGAGGCCTCCTTGTAAAGTCAGTGCTGCAGTCGAAAAGTCATTTTTGGTTAGGAAGGTTCCTAACTGAGCAGGTGGAATTCTCTAAATGATACGGAAAGGAGCTTCAATGCTTCCTATCTTATCTCCTTTAGCATAGGGAACACTGGACCTTCCTTTACAAAAGGAAAGGAGAAAATTCTGTCCCACAATTCCTTGCGGCCACAACATTTAAAGTGACGCACCATTGTAGCGCCACCTTGGCAGACCCAGGTAGCCTGAATGTAGAAACATCAGAGCACCTGTTTTATGTTTGTGACACAATCCAAAACTTATGGAACTCCTTGTCTGATCGACTGAAGCCCAATTCCATAAATATAGATCTCTTTTCTTTCAGATCTGTCCAGTTAGGAGTCATCATGATAAAACAAACATAGAATAGAATTTCTAGTTAAAATATCATCATCATAACAAAATACGATAGCTAGCCTATACATAAATGTCTTTCACTAAATCCCCTCCCACTATATATATATATTATACTGTATATATAAGTTACATTTGCATGGCCAGAATCCTATATGATAAGTCAAAATATTCACAGTAGTATTTTGTTTATTTACATCCATGCTCTGTTTTCAATAGATTGTCTCATGGGATGAAGCAACATGAGACTATGAGACTATCCAAATCTTTTCCAACTTTATGCGTTTATTATTGACGAAAGTAAATGACTCACACAGACAAACAGGAGCTTGTCTAAAAGCTCTGATTCTCTAGTTTAACTGAGAAAAAAACTCATGTCTGTAGCTCAAACCACTGAGGAGTAATAGTAGTAGTAATAATAGCTGGTAGATCTGCCCCTGCGCCCCTCCCATCCCCGCTGAAGGTGCTGTGAAGGTGCTGCCCCGGGCCCCTGTCACTCATGTGGCCCATCAGTCATCCTCATCTACAGAATCTGACTTTATCTTAATGAGCCTTTGTTATTCCTGTGAATGAATGGAGACTGCTTACATTCAGAGGACAAGTTGAGCATTATCACATTAACTCAGCACCACAGATGATCAGATCCTGAGTTTCTCCTCATGTCTGTCAGTCCAGGTGGGAGAAATCTTAAAAAGAAATCTACAAGACCAACCAGGAGCTTCAGGACTAATGAAATACTCGCTTATCCAGCGCCTTGATCCGGTTCGGACACCAAAACAGGACGGTGTGTCCCTGTCTGTATTGTCTGTGCTCGTCACTGCATTTCCTATTGTCACATCACATTCCTGTAGGAGGAATGTGTGTGTTTTGAGTGTGACTGTGTGTGTGTTGTGAGTGTGTAGAGATGTGTGTGTTTGTGTGAGCCGAGGGGGGGGGGGGTTAATACCAGACATCCTGCTCTTATTGTCAACTGCCCCAGGTCGACTGCTGCTCAACATGTCAGGCTGAAAGAGAACAAAATGGGGCCCATGACACTGAGCGATCACACACACACACACACACACACACACACATATATCGTGCTGTAGCTTTCTTGTACAGGAATATATTTTTTACAAAACACAAAATACTTTGTCAGATTGTGATGAACCATTTCCACTGAAAAAATGTTTTTATATGTGATGTTTGCTGGGTTCTGTAGGATCTGTTCTAAACAGGCAGGTACCTTAACATCTGGAGAATATGATTTGTTAGACAAGGAATTTCTGTAGCACCACAATGCTTCATTTATATATGTATATGGTACATTGTGACACATTTTACCTTTATCATAAAACTGCAGCTCCTGCAATTTGGATATTGCATTTGGCCATATTGTGATTTCGATAATATTTCTAATAAATGTTTAGCCCTACAACACATGATTCAAAAGTTCAGGCACTGTTAATATATCTTCTCTTAATCACTTGGTGGGTCCTTCATGAATTGTACATATAATGATGTTAAAAGACACCATACAGTTCTTCATGTTGGCCACATTTTTTTCCTTCAAAGTACATTTTCTCATAAAATTAAAAGATAAAAGGCTGCACCCTGTAACAGACAGTTATGTAATTTGAACCAGGGGTGGAAACAAACACACACATTCACAGTAAACATTTCATTGTGTTCCAATGAACAGTAAAGCAGATCTTAAATTTTTGAGAAAAATGTTACAAAAGAGTTTTGATCTTGGAAAGTTCAAAAATCACACAATTGAACAAAATACGCTGTATCTGACATTACAGCTCACGAAGCCTGTAACTGTGGAGTAAATGGTTGAATGACTGGTATTTGTTATACATTTAAAGACAACAACTGAATTACAGACACTTAAGACAGAAGTCTTCCATCACCAGACTCACCAACAATGAATGACTATCACAAGTAACATTTTATTTTTCCCCAAAAGAGAAAAAACTACACAGCAGTTTGGAACTAAAACCTTCATATCAACAAGTAACAAATATGTAACAGTGGCATCACTGTCAACAAATCAACAATTTACGCACAATATTAAAAACAAAAAAAGTGCAAATAGGATTCCTTAAAACAAGTTTGTAACTAACTGACAGGACATTTTATCCCCCTACCATCACTCAGACATGTCCTGTACTACAGCACCCTCTTGTGGTTTGCATTTTACAAGGCACAATTTTTGCCCGGAGCACATCACTGCCAATGAGACCAATTTTGTACTATTTTGAGTATAGTATATATTTTTTTAAAAACAAAAAAATTAGGGCCAGACACTTTGAGTCACTCAACAAAAGAATCAGGTTCTCCCCTCTATCAAGAGAGAGTCTGAGCGTTAAGGATTCCCTGAGGTTAAATTTTTTTTTTTTTTTTTTTTTTAAATTGCACAATATAAAAATGCAGAAAAACTCCAAAACAAAACAACTTGCTGAGACAGCAGTTTCCCTGCTTCTGTGCTCAGTGCTTCCACAAACTAGAAATCTGTGGTCCCGTCAGCTTGCAGAAGAAAAACAAATCTGCATTTTCATTTTCAAAGAGCCATGACTCAGTCGTATTATCTCTGAGTAAGACACCTTTCAGACCTCTTTATTCCATCGAGGGATTATAGTCCTGCGATAAGTCCTTCTTTCAGAGATATTACGTCTGACTTTGATCACCGTCGGAGGAGCCAGCTCCAGCTCCAGAGAAGGGCTGGAGTGGGACTTTTTCAGCCCACCTTCCTCCTCCTCTTCCTCCCCTACAGCTTCTGAACACACGGCTTTATCAAACAGGTTCAGGTCTGCTGTGCTCAACACATCATTGCCTGTCTTCTCCACGCTCTTCCAGCTCTCCAGCACCTGGATGTAAATCTCATAGCGACACATCTGCAGGGTTTTAGCAAGAGAAGCAGGGTCACTTTTTGTTTTTCTTTCACACTCATATACACACGTTCTCTCTGTCACAACACCCTCTCTACCTCGTGCTGCAGGTACTCTGCTCTGACGCGATGCTCCTCCAGCTCCTTGGCTCTGGCTTTTCTGCCCTCTGGCAGGTTTTGCTGCAGGTAAGACAGGTCTGCCTTAAAGGACTCCAGCATTCCTGCATGAGACTGCTGCTGACGTTCCTATACAGGAAGTAGGACAGAGGAACAGATGAAAGGTTTCATGCAAATACACTTGATGCAAATCCTAAACAGAACAAATGACTATCAAGTATGATGAACAGAGTCTGCAAAATGATCTGTTGTACTGTATTTAACAATATTTATCTGTTCTGTGCCTGTTGAATAAAGAACTAAAGAAATTTCCCATCATACTCCAGCTGCAGAGGTGAAGTGTTCCAGGAAAGTGTACAGTACAGATGTGTATCATGGAAAATATATTTCATGTATGTCATTGCTGTGCTGTATTAACTGTTATCAAATTTAAAATGAAACTCAATTCTTTAAATTATCCACAGTGACCACTGTTCAGCAAAAGGCACGTAGTCTCGCTTTAATGGGTCAAAAGGGATTGTTCAAAAATACATATGTGACGGTTTTATTAGTTGTCCCTGATATTATTAAGAAGAGGCAAATGGAAACACGATTTTAGGAGGTTAATGTGAACAGCTGTATATCATGGTAATAATTTTGTGGTATTTCTTGATTTACTAGGCAAAACATGAGCTTAGAAAGAATTTTTATACCATGAACAACTAGCATTTTTTGAGCAGTTCATATAATTCATTGGCTGGCTGGTAGCTTGCTGACTAACATGCATTGGAAAACATTTAACACACTCACATATTTGAACAGTACAATTCATTAAAAAATATGTAAAATAACTTGTAACTATGAAGAACTCAAAGCCTCCAAGAAAGAGAAGTGGGAGTGTGTACCAGAGTGTGAGCAGACTGCGAGGCGGGGAGGATCGGCCTGGAGAACTTCCTCTGGGAGCCGACAGCAGCGGGGAACGGCGGTGAGGAGTGAAGAGCCGAAACCAGGTTGATGCGGCTGATCCACGAGTTCATCTCCACTTTGGAACTGAGCACAAAACAAACAAGAGCTCTGACACTAACTGTTGGACTCTTTAGCGCGCGCGCGCACACAAACACACGCACACACACATATACATACACACATATACATACAGATTCCAGCTGTGCTGTGACTTACGAGGCCTGAAAGAGGAAAACCCTCCAATCAGCCGTCTGCAAACGGAAGACGTTTGGCTTCTTGGTGTAATCAGCTGCCTGCTCGGCCAGAGAGTGGTGCACACTCACCACCTCCTCGATAGTCTGGTGGTCCCTCCTGTAATCATCCTGACACACACACACACACACACACACACACACACACACACACACACACACACACACACACACAGAACAAGGGGAGATTACAGAAATGTATTTATAATCATAGACAATACAAAATTATTTTCACATAATAAAACCTGGATCTGAGTTACTGACCTTCTGTAAGAAAAGGACCATTCCCCTCAGCACTCCAAAGAAAGTCTTCCAGCCTCTTTTCCCCCACGGAGCTGCAACACAGAAACATTCGTCAGGTATGTGAAGATGAGACACTAACGACACTGATGTCAAAGCCCCACACAATAAAAGTAACTCACAATCATTACATCGAAATTCAGGTTTGTCAATTGTTACATCAATGGGGAGCTGAAGCTTCTTACTGGGTACAGTGTCCAAGACACATTATTACTTGAGAGGTTATACAATTTCATTCTGATTTAACTGACAAAAGCAGGATGATATGGTGTGCTCACTATCCATTCAAAACATCAAATGATGATTAATTAAATCTAATAATGGAAAATAAATAACAAATTAATTAATTAATGATAATGTAATGAAATTTAAAAAAAAAAAAAAAAGAACATTAAATCTCACTACCACACTCTTCAAAATAAAAGTTTGGGCAAAGGCAAACATCATAAATTCTCAGGTCACAAATCAATGTTATTTTCATGTACTTAAAATGCTCAACCACAGACTCACTGCGTTTGCCGTCAATGTCGGCATGGAGCTTTCTCTGGAGGAATCCCTCTTTGACCACTGAGGCCTTTCTGTCATGAGGAACATCCTGGAAGGGGTTGGCTTTTGAGCGCAGCGGTGCACTGTCTCCTGTGTCTTCATCCAGCAACACAGAGCTTTTCAACTCCTCCTCATCACTTCAACACACAATGGAAGATTATTAAGTGTGAGATTAGACAAGTGAGGGATGTGACAAAGGAGGAATGGTTGAGAGAGAGAACAGATTTTTTTTTTTAAATCAAGTGAAAGTGAAATAAGTACTGTCCACTTACACAGCCCACTCCAGCGGTTCACTCTTAATAGAATTGTAAAGACTCTAAAATGGAGATGGAGAAGAAAAATTCAAATGACATATTCATCAACAGGGACTTGACCTTACTTCGATAAAATGTGTTCTCTGAAAGCTTCAATGAAGGCCTTACTTTCAGGAGATCCTTGTTGAAGTTTTCATCTTCATTCATCCCATCCAGGTTGGACACAAACTTAGCGGAGGACATGGATTTTCCTACATGCTGTCAACACAGACAAAAAAACGTGTGACTGACTACATATCTCACAGGGATCAGCCGCTAATACAGTGCCAAGTCAAAACAAAATTACAATGTCATCAATCACTTCTTTTACAGTCATAGATGTGTCTCACCTGTCCGTGCAAGTCAGTGTTGAGAAGCATCAAAGCACACGTCAAAGCCAACACAGACCCTGAGGATATATTAAAAAAACTGATAATGACACATGCATCTGTCACGAGAGCGCTCACTGCTGTACCTCTGACCCTGAACCAAAAATATCAAGTGAACGGTGACTGACACTCACCTGAGGAGGAGAAGGAGTTGGGGTTGCACTGATGGAAGCGGCAGGCGAAATGCTGCAGCACACGTTCCCTCTCCTGGCTCTCTCCTATCAGCACCACAACTTTCAGAAACGATCTGAGAGAGAAACCAAAAGTAAATAAAAAGATTGTGAGATGTTTTATGAGTTTGTGATGGCATGCCATCCTAGCTCTACCTCTGTAATTCTCACCTCAGGGCGTGATCCAGAGTTTGCCCAGTGAAGTCAAAAAATTTGAGGTATTCCTCTCCAACAGCCTGGCTGAAGTCATTACTAAACAGGGAAAAAAAACCATTTGGTGTCAATATCATCATGACTTTCTTAGAAATTTTATAATCTATTTTATATTAACCTGAAGACTTTTCCAGGTCCACTATTAAAAAAAACACTGAAGGATCACAATATCTTCAACTCTACATCTCGTTTTAATAATGCGACAATATGGTTTAATGCAGCTTTTAAGCTAAACTGGAAGAAAAAGAAGACGATGTGGTGCGGACAAAAGAAATCATGTGACCTCTTGAGTATGAGGAGGTCAGTGATCATTTCCCTCAACTCAAGCTGTCAAAAAAGGTCCATAAAATTGCATCATTTAACCATAAGGTCACATTTACGACTACGAAGGGACTATTTTAAACTGTATCGTTATAGTAAAAATACCCAAAAACCTCAATGCCCCCAGTGTGTAACACAGACTTTCTGTTATTAATTTGTAGGCAAGATAACCGTGATGGCATCACCAGGGCGATTTTATCAGATTTTCAAAAGAGCATCCTTAACCACAGGGGTCATTACACCACTGTTTTCCACAGGCTGAGCAGCCCTCACTGTGACACGTAAATTGATCTTAATGTGTAAAATCTTTCTAGTGCCCCTTTAATGTTATATGGCAGAAGATGGAATAAATAAGAAGGTGTTTATGTGGAAAAAATCACACAGTCCTCTGTGGGCAAAAGAGCTTCACTCAGTCTTTAAGGAGGTGGTTATGCTGTATATCTAAAGGAATCATTAATGTTGCTATGTTAATATTATTAAAAGTCAGGTTTTATTGACATTTAAAGAAAAATAAAATATGTTAGTATGTACAGTATGTGTATATCAAATGAAAGTTCTGAATCATACGTCACATCTTGTTTATGTAGAAGCTTAAATACTTTAGTAGATGTTATTCCTGCTGACATTGAGGTTGGCAGATTAAAAAATATTCTGGAGACAAACACTGTGTACTCTGATTTGGGAGATGTGGAAAGTGAGTCCCATTTTCTTATAAATAAACTGTAAAATTATGATGATTTCAGACAGTTAATTTTCCATGAAATGCCTAGACAAAACCCTGAAATATTCTGGTGTATATATGACCAAACATGACAAAGGTTGTTTAATTTGAATGCGTTTCAGTTGGCTAACTTTTTCAAGAGCCTGGAAAAGAAGGAAAGATTTCTCCAGCACTATACACTGTAGTAAATGTTTTGTCAGTGATATGGGAATTTATTGTAATAAAGTTCTAAAGATTTGAACGTGAAAGCTGGCTATTTATTTTTGGACTTATCTATTGTTTGAAGATGTTTACACAGAACTCGGGGTTCTTTTTGTTTTGCCTGGGCATAGTTGTCATAGATTCACTGATGTTATCAATGTTTTCAAATTACATTATTTATAGCCAACTCTGTGACTTCACAGGTTTTTCAGCGATGTCGTGCTTGACACTGGGAATTCCCCACTGCAACAGAAAACAGTCTGCAGCTACAACAGAACTGGCTAGTTGTCGGTTCCACAGCAATGCCCATAATGCCATCACCCTTCAGTTATGAACAGACAGATTTAAAAAATTTAAAACATGCGCTTACTCTTTATCCAAGTGCTTCACCACATCTACACGTTGGATCCCGTCCAACTTATACAGCCTTTCAGCGAGGCGACAGGCCATCTCTCTCTCCACCTCACCTCCATTCATATGATTCATATGAGGCACGGCTGTCTCAGGGGGCTTGGGTTGTTCTCCATTTGCCACCACTGTTTGTACATCACCATCCTCCGAACCTCCTACTTCTTCAGCCTGATGTAGCGTCTCGGCCTGTGTGCCCACCTGATTTAAATCAGCCTCTGCTGTCTGCTGTGTGACTTCAGTCTCAGGAGACAGCTGCTCTGTTGTTTCTGACTCATCTGAATTCTCTGGTTGCAGAAGCTGCTCGGAGAGGGTTGGCAGGGACTGCTCATTCTGCTCTGTCGGCTCAGTCTGTTCTGGCTGCTCTGCAACTTCGGTGTCTTCAGCTTCAGCACAGACCGTCTGCTCTGACTGAGTAGACTCCTCTGTCTGCTCTGCAGTTTCAGGTTGGGCGGGCTGTTCTGTCAGCTCCATCTGTGCTGACTGTTCCAGAGGTTGTGATTGTACTAACTGCTCAGAGATTTCAGAGTGTTGCTCCTCTATCTGATGTGACACCTCTGTTTGGATCTGCTCGGGCTCTTCTGTCATTTCCAGCTGCTCGGACTCAGGGTGTTCAGGTTGCGGTGACGCCTCTCTCTCCGGTGAAGTTGTCTGGTCACAATCCTGTTGCTCTAAACAACTTATCTCCTCCAGTTTTTCAGTCAGCTCTAGTATGTCTTGTGAGTTTTCTATTTTCTCTGCATTTTCTGCCTCCTCTATTGATGCTTCTTCTTTGTTGTCCGCAGCCTCTGACTGTTCAGGGTCCACGTTATAATCTACATCTTTACACATTTCTGGCTCTTCAATTTGACCAGTGGGTTCTTCATGTAACTGTTCCAGTATCTCTATATCCTCTTCAGTTCCTGAGTGGCCACTTTCCTCTAAAACCTCTGACTGTTGCAGATCACTTAGCTTATCTGGGCTTTGGGTTAGTCCAGTATCATCAGATTGTAGTGGCTCTGCAGAAACCTCCCTACAAAGAGGGGAGGAAACATGCAATGTAGTCAGTGTTATATTTGCACACAATGCTGTGAAACGAATTAACATAATGAAAGCATTTACTTTTAGTACACACTTCCTGTTCCCCTTTTAATGATACTCACACATAACTCAGACAACTGACAGTTTTTGCCTCTTCACCATCACCAGTACAGGTCACGTTTGTCACAATCTGCTCCTCTTCTTCTTTTTCACCTCCCTCCTCATTCTCTTCTTCAATCTCTACACCATTTGCTGAAGTTTGCTGTTCCTCTGAGTCTCCTTGTCCAGTCAGCAGAATGCTGGGCTCCTCCTGTTCCTCTTCTAGTTTTAAATCTACAATACTTTCCGCCTCATCCTCTGTTCCTTCAATCGTCTCAAGAGTATCAATTACGTCCACAGTTTCAACAGGATCTGACGTTGATGAGTCTCCCTCCTCTTCTCCTGCGTCTGCGCTCAGTGGGATTTCTGGGAGATTTTGCAGAGAGATGTGAACATCACAGTTTTGTAGTAAAATCTCCCCTTCTTTTTCATTTTGATCAAAATACTCAAACCACTACAAATGCAACAATAAACAAGAATCACAAGTGTATTCTCAAACTGAACAACAAATATAAAGACATATATAAAGGTGTTGCTCTGAGTAATACGCACCATTGTCTAACAACTCGTGCGTTGAATCCTTTTCCTGTGTCACCAGCTCTTGTACATCGGCAGCATCACATGGCTGGAAATTGCAACACAGGGCCATCGATCATTAGCATGAGATGTGTGAGAAAAACTTGTGATCACCAGTGGGTTCATGAGTAGGTAGTAACAATCAGCCTCATCTGACTAACATGATGTCTACTCTATTCCTCCCACTTCTAACCCAAACAAGGACCTAAAGTTTGAGGTGGTGAGGTTAAAGCCAAGCATATGCTCAGTGAGGGAAGGTTTAATGACACAGGAAACTGTATCTAAAAGGTGTATACAGACACAGAAACAGACAAAAATCTAAATAATGACAGTATTACATCGCTATTCATACAGTACTTACCTCAGAGCTGTTTCCTGTCCATTCTACATTAGAGTTCGGAAGCTGTGAATCAAACCCATCGAGTTCCTCTCTCTCCCCCTGCATGAGAGGCTCAGGCTCATTATCATCGTCAGATTGGTGAAGTGACAGGGAAGTGGTATCTAGACTCGTCATGCCACCATAATTCAGCTCATTCGCCAAGCTCCCGTCAGTCATGAGTGAAGGCGTCTCTGTAAAGGGACCGGGTATGTCCCACTGTACTGTGGCAAAAGAAAGCCGAGGACTGGTACAGCTCATGGAGCGTACTGGCCATATTATTTGCTCCCACTGTTCTGCCTCCTCAGGAGTCTCTTGTGCTGCCTTCGGGGTGAGATTGAGTTGATCTGTCCCATGTGCCTGGTTTATCTGCACCTCTGTCATGCCCCAAACAATGGCCTCCTGTTCTCCATTGATGTACTGGTGCTCTGTAGAGGTCCATGAGTCTTGTTGGGGTTCCTGCAGGACTGAATCTGTATGATCTGGCAGAGAGGAGCACAAGCTTTCCTCCTCCATTAGCGTCTCTCTCAGTTAGTTCCGTTTTTTTTTTCTTTTTTTTCTTTTTGAGGTTTTTGTGGATTTTGGTAAAAGACGCTGTAGCTGCAAATGTTGCCTTATTACAAAATGTCTTCCTCTGCTATATGAAGTTCATTTGGATGTTCATTTTGTAAGGCTGCATAAATCTGAAATCCCAAGTCATGTTCCAACTTCCAGCGGCGCCATTCACATATCTGTAACAAAAGAAAGAACCCATTAATGTTCAAAAATATTTAACCACACCCCCATGTTAAGCAGCACAAGAAAAATTTGCTCGAATCTTGGGTCAGACAGGCCCTGATGTTGCCTAACAAAAACCAAACTGTTCTGTTAAGCTAACTCTTCATGAACTATCTGAATACCACTTTAAAAAAAACTTTTCGGGGAACCTCCAGCAGGAACATCTGATAGCTGATGGACAAAAGAAGCCATTCATAACCCTCTACTATATTTGGTTGTAGAGTGATAGGGATGAGCTCTGTATTTTTCTATTCATCTGTGAGAAAGAGTTGATTTAAAACTACAGGGGACAGCATTTGAAATTACAAGCATCACTCTGACAAAAATATTCCACTGACCCACCACGTAATCTAGTTTTAGTCCAAGATTTTTTAGCCCATCACGATCATTTGTCAAATTTCTTAATTTCTTGGCATGGCATTGCAGATGTGCAGTGCAACAAACTTTGAGTGAAATATCACAAAAGCTTGTTTGCACTTCCTGACCACAGACGTACAAAATCAGCACAGCAAGTGAGCAAGAGAGACAGAAAGAAAGAGAGGCAGAGAGACAGAGGTGTATGTGTGGGGATTAAGAAAGGAGGCAGAGGGTGGGGTTGAAGGGTTGACTCTGGTGAGCAGTTTAACTGTCTACGCTATGTTTATCATTTTTATCATGGTGCTGCACAGGGACCATGGATGATGGATGAAGCCGTGTTGAACCCTAAACTTGTAGCCATGGTGTGCTGTCAACACAAACCAAGGGCATCTTTTCAAGTGAACAGTGAAACAGTTATGTCAACAGTTAAAACATCATCTTATTCTTTTCTGCTTCATTTAATCTTAGATTTGATCGCAGATTCATCTATATCTCCCTCTCTCTGTCACACTTTTTTTCTATACCTATCCGTCTGTCTTCATTATTCTATTCACGTCATATAACCAACATCCGGGACAGACTTTGACCACATTTCCTGTGTGGGTGCTCACTTCTCAGTTCCTGTCAGGGTGCAACAAGTGCTACAGTATATGTTCGACAGTTAACAAGGATTAGCAACAGAGGATCATCTGTAAACACTGTGTTGGAAACAAAATGAGTGGAGATACTGAAACTTTACAAACTGCAAAGTGTAAATGCAAAATTGTCTCTCTTGATGTTTCCACTTTAAAAGACTGAATTTCAAAATAATTTGGGGCATTCCAACATTATCCAGCACTGATTATAATCTCTCACAGCTCTTTCAAAAAATATTGAGCGTTTCACATGATAACATGGTTAATCTTCTGTGTGTGATGGTATCTTTGGCAGCATTGTTGATACTAAAAACTGTAGCTGAATGCTCAAATGACTCTGGAGATCTCCAGAAACATTTTTCAGGGTCCAAAGAGAGAACACAAATAAATCAGGACACTTTCAGGCAAATATAAAATTGCTCAGACAAAATGTAGTTTACCTTAAATGCAGATCGCCATGAGAAGCTGCTAACAATGCATGGGAAGCTTTTACAGCAAGTCACACTGGAGAGGATGCTTAAAACGTTAAAGCAGAAGTACAAATATATTTTAAAAACATCCCAGAGAGAACAAAATAAAAAGAGGAACACAGCCACTCTGGGTACAGTGAAAGTTGTGAAATGAGTTATAAATGTATGCATGTGCAATAATAGAATTTGTCTACAGAGGATAAACACTGCCTAGTATTTCATTCATTACTATCAGTGAACATGGCACAGACATAAACTTGAACATTTTCAAACCTCAAAGAGCTAAAATAAAATCTCATTAAGAGGAATCTTTTCAACTGTGATGCATGACTTACCCCTTCCAGGCTCTTTAAAGCAACATCATATGATCAGCCGGCTTGTGAGGTTTTAAGTCAAGTCTTGTGGGAGGGTAAGACACACCACTGTGTTACACTGGGTTGATACTGCTGTCAAAGAGCTGTGCCTTTACAGACACATTCATCCACACACGCATACAAATACCCCTCAGTTGATTGTGTCTGAACCTGCTGCGCACAACAAACCACCCTCACATCCGCTCTTTTAAAGGCAGGCAGCCTCTCAGTCTGTGGTGTCGCATAAAGATGCATGCAAGTCACAAGTCCTAGTCTGGACCAAGTCCCCCCCCCCTCCCCCCCTTCCTGTCCATTTTGGAGAGATCAAGATCAGACTTCCGTCAACCTTCGTCCTGTTTGCCTCTCTGCAGCTATGGCTGGGGGGAAAAAAGGGTGAATATTTAGAGGAGGGTAAGAAGGGGAAAGCTGCTGAATGGCAACAAAGAGGAAGAAAAAGGTACATCGTGATTGGCAGATGACTCAAGAGCTCAGAGACACCTGAGAGGCCTCGGCCCACGCCCACTGCCCTGCAGGCATGCAAGCATACATATAGGTCAGGTGAGAGGAGTGGCTTAGTTTCATTCCTGCAAATGAAAGCAGGAGCAATGTGGTAAAACCAGAAGTTGAACAGATTCAATGTGCACATCATAGCTGAGGGTAATGTTGGTGTACTTCCTGGTTTCTGGCTGTGCACAGAAATTCCTTTAACAACACTGCACATTTCTTTTACTATTACAATCATTATCATCATAATTATATTAGATTTATTTTTTCATTTTGCCTGTTTAATTTCGGTAGCTAACCACTTAAAGACAATAAAAACAGTTTGAGCTTTACTGACAAATTAGCATAAATAAAATTATTTACATGATTTGCATCAGTTACAAAATCATTAGCAGCAGCATTTAGCATCATTTTTAGCTAAACTAGTAGCATTTTCATACAAATTATTACTATTAGCACTGTTATTAACTTGCTGCAATTAGCTATAAGTACTTTAGCTGGTTGTAGAAGCCTTTAGTTAACTAAGTAATATTACGTAACGTCGTTATTCATCACATGTCCATCATTACTAGCTTTTCTATTGATGTACCTAAGTGTAAACAGTGTCATTAGCACGACTAGCATTCAGATAAACGTCGGTATTAAAACATTAGCATTACCTAGCATTAATGTGAGCGTCCTTGCTAGTAGTTGTTGTAGCTGGTTTTGTAGTAGTGGTACTAGTAGTATTATTAGTAGTAATCTAATAGTGCTGCTGGGGTTTTGCAGTTTTTCTTATTGTTATTTACACACCATCATCACCGTGATTATTTGTGTGGGTCACAGTAACGTCTGCCGGGGCCCAAGTTAGTCCAGCGGTGTCACGCCACACCGCTAGGGGCGCTGCGGGCTGGCCTGGGAGCTAAAAGGCAGCTGGTCTACACCGTCACTCTCCTGCGCCTGTCCCCGCTTTGTTTGTTCCGCACACGGCAGCAGAGCAGCCGCACACACCCACCTTATTTGTATGTTTTTTTGTTCCAGATACTTTCAAAATACTTTCAGGTCGAACATGGCAAACGACCTGAAAAATTTCCTGGAGTCGTCTCTGAATGAGATCTTCAAAGCCACAGTGAGCGACATCCTGGACTCAGTGGACCGGACCCTGTCTGAGTACCAGGGCACGATACACAGGATCGAGTCTGAAAACGAGGGCCTGAAGAGGCTGCTGCGTGCACACAAGAGCAGGGAGTCTGCAGAGAGAGTTGGTAAATACCGGAGAGTGCAGCTTCATGCAGTCACTGACCTTTTGTTTAAGCTTGTCCCGCAGAGTCAGCAAACTGTGGCCGTGCATGTCTGTTTATGTAGATGTAAATTAAGGTAGCAGTACTACAGTAAACAGACAGCAAAGAGACGTAAACAATGCTGCATTCACTTCGTTCAAAGCTGATTAATCAACTGAAAATTAACCGGCAACTGTTTTGTCAGTTGATTAATTGTTCCAGTCATTTTTTAAGCAGGTTTTGGGCTGTTGGTCAGATAAAACAACCAATTTGAACACATAACCATGGCCTTTTTTATAATTACCATTTTATCATTTTCTGACATTTTGTAGACAAATTGTTAATTGAATAATGAAAATAAGTGTTGGTTTATGAGGTAGGAAATAGGCATAATAATGAATGTGTAATGCAGGACTTAGTATACTGTAACAAGACTATCACAATATCCTGCCTGTACTAATGATTATAGTACAGCATAAGTACATGGTCCCTCATAAATACATTTAATAAACTAAACTAAGAAGTAATTCTTCAGTGCACACTAAATCACAATATGTGTTCCTGTAATGTAACCCTACAATGTCAGTAAAAATTTTTCAAACATCAATCAATCAATCAGCTGAAATCAATCACACTTTTTTATTTATTGTATTATGTAGAAAAACCAGCCCACAGACATAAAGATCACGTGTATGTATGCATGGAAGGAAATGCAGCATCAGATAATATTTTGATGAGCTTCACACTATTTTATTTAATGTTAAACCTACTAGTAAGAAGTCTCTTCATTATGTTTATTGTCAGCTTTGTTTCAGTTTTGTTTTCTGGCCTGCAATGCCACTCAGTTCCACTTCATGTCCTACTGCAACAGTCAGCTGTTTTCAGAAAAAAGATGTAACCTACTGTACACTGTTTGTCTAGCCCCAAACCGATAAACAGAGAAAGATAGCATCTAGCTGGTGAACATGGTGGAGCATTTAGCAGCTAAAGAGGATATTTCCCTTGGGATTTAGTGGAGACAAAAACAGCTAAACAGAGAATATTGGAGTTACATTTGTTAGGTGGCCAGAAACACAACTCTAAATGAATGCATATGTTGCTTTTGATATGTAAAAAAAAAAAAAAAGCAGACATAACTTAATGTGCCAGTGTTTTGAGCTTGTTCTGCTGTGCCCCAGTGGCAAAAAAAAAAAAAATAGTGAATGCAGCTTTAATTAATTATGATCCTACAGTGTCATTCAGTGAATTTTAAAGTACTGCTATCAACTAATCAATTATTTTAGTTAGTTTAGGACATGCATAACTCAAAGTCACAGCCTGTACTGTTAAGCTCATTATTTTGGCCTTGAATTTTCACAGATGCCCTTGAACAAGATGCCACAGAAAAGCTTTTGACCTCAGAATGGAGCAGCGGTCCGATCAGCTCCACCCAGGGCACGTTCAAAATGTCCATATGCAGCAGTGACAAGAAGAGCTGCAGGAGGAAGCACAAAGACAAGCTGAGGGATAGCATGTCCCCTGCCTCCTTCTTTCTACAGACTAATCAAAATGTTGAACAACCATGTGTGAACACCTCAGAGGTATGTATGCCCACACAAACCTTGGTATCTGTAAAAGCAGAGCCTGGCTTGGATGAAAACAGTGCTATTGACCTCTCCCAGCCTTCATCTGTTCTCAATCTGACAATGAGGCCAGTAAAAGATGAGAGCACAGAGGTTTGTTGTGACAGTCAAAATGCATATGCACCTCTGCTGCCATCTTCAGGCGCTGAACAAGACTCCAGAGGCAGCGACAGTGAAGTTAAAGTCACCATCGTTTCCGACAGCCACATGCAGGATGGACAGTCCATTAAGACAGAGGACGAGGAGCAGAACGGGGTGTTGCAGTATGGTGATGATGACAGTTTCTCTAAGCAGGAGTTGAGATATTATCCTGAATCACAAAGAGATCCTGAGGGGGCGAGCAGAGAGGTTTCGGAGCCAGAGGTGGAGACACATAAGGAAAATGATTCACTCGCTGTTCCTGCTGATGAGTTTTTGGAGATCCGTGACAACTTTTTACGCTGTCCCAGCTGTCCCAAAACATTTAGTCGAGCAACCTCGCTCAACATTCACATGAAGACTCACAGCAGCGAGAAGGTCCACAGCTGCAGCTACTGTGGTAAACGCTTCGGCCGGGCTGATCTCCTCAAATCCCACAAGCGTACCCACACAGGAGAAAGACCCTATAGCTGCAACATCTGCAGTAAAACATACGCGCATCCCAGTCAGCTCAGGATACACAAACGCATACACACTGGAGAGAAACCGTATTCCTGCTCGCACTGCGGGAAGCGCTTCAACGAGCACAACCAGCTCAAAGTCCACTTGCGGACTCACACCGGGGAGAGGCCTTACAGTTGCCAGGAGTGCGGCAAAACATTCAGCAACGCAGGAAACCTGCGTATACACGAGAGGATCCACACTGGCGAGAAGCCGTACTGCTGCGCTCAGTGTGGGAAAAGGTTCAACGGCTTGGGTGACCTCAAAACACATTACAGGATTCACACTGGAGAGAGGCCCTACAGCTGCGAGCTGTGTAAGAAGACCTTCAGCCAGGCGGGCCACCTGACCATACACATGCGGATGCACACGGGAGAGAGACCGTACAGCTGCAGTGAGTGTGGCAAGAAGTTTACGGTGGCCAGCAGCCTTAAACTGCACCAGAGGACTCACACGGGAGAGAAGGAGTACAGCTGCTCGTACTGCAGCAAGAGCTTCAGCAGGTCGGGCCACCTGAAGAGACACGAGCTGGTCCACACCAAAGAGAAGGTCTTCCTCTGCAGCCAGTGTGGAAAGACCTACACGGACCAGTCCTCCCTTAAAAAACATTTGAAGATGCACGCGGCCAAGGAGCAGAAGGCTCAGTGCAAGGGAAGCACCAGCAAGGCTGAAACAAACCCAGTCTGACCGGCGGCCTCGGAGACACTTTCAGACACTGATAGAAATACGAACCAAATTGTTAAAGTTGAATAATATAAAAGCTAAGATTCAAAATCTACTGACTACTTCAAAACCACACCTCACAGCCTACATCTGCAGATGGAGCTCGCTTATTTGTCACGGAGATGATGGAGAGCACTACGTTGTTGAAACGGCAAGGACACTGAACACGAGGATGAATGGACACCAGAAACCAGCTGTGTGATGAGTAACAGATTCCTGAGTTTGAGTGGTTATCAGACGCCAAAACACTGCACTACGGTTTATAATACTATGCATTTTTTCCTGCTGGAGCTGCAGTGGCCTCATTGAGATGAATGCCGTCTTCACACAGGGGTACTGTCGGTCTGAACACAGTCTAAAGCTGCGTTAGATTACTGTGTAAAGTCAACATTGCATTTCTACTGTTTACTGTGTGATGGTCATGACAAAATATTAAATAGTTGCCGCTGTGGTGGAGTTGTAAAATCAACAGAAGCTTTCGTGCAGTGGTTTGATGTCTGATAAGCCATCTGGACTTCCTGCATCATAATTCATTGTCTCCCTGATAGCTGTAAAAAGACACCCCCCCTAATGTAGCCCCCTGTGCTGTTTCAACACAGGGCTGACTATTTAGCAATGATTAATTATTTAATTTTGATTGATTAACTCTAATATTCTTCTTGTAGGCATCTCTCTCACAGTGTAAGAGATACAGGCAGAAAAAAAAGGACTCTAAAATAACGTTAAAACCTGCTGTATGTTACCAAAATACTGATTATATGTTTATGAAATGCTTTACAAGAAAATAAAAATGACTGAATGTCTGTCAGATCGCCAGGGTGTGATCGTTCACCTTGCTGATGTGTCTTTGAGCAAGACACTGCATCCCAGGTCCAGGTTTACGTTGTGTTGTCCTGACCTTTGACCTTCCTGTGAGAGAAAAAAATGAAAATTTCCCTACAGGGTTGAGTAAAAAAATTTGAATCTTAATTGTTTTAGAAGTAAGGTGCTTCTACATACATTTATACACTTTGTAGCCAGAGAGTTAGAAATGTTGTACCGCTCAGTGATGTAAGGTGAAGACCATTAATATAATGCTGTATATAGCTTTAATTATACAGTCCGCTGTCTGATCTATTGAACTGACAAGAATGTATTTGTGTAATAATATTACTGAAAATAATGTTACTGCAAACATTCAGTATCGAGCGACCAGCTTTCAGTAGTGTAAGCCATGCTGATCTCAAATAATGTCGAGCTTCTCGTGGAGTTGTTTTAGGTTTTTCCCTGTGGTACCATCTCTTACCATGAATAATGTGCAAGTGACACACGCTGGAGTAAAATCTCATGTTCATGATCATAGGGCTACTGTTCATTGTGGCAACTGGTTGATATACCTGCATAGCAATGTATATTAAACTGAGTGTTTGCTACTAGGATTTTATTGTGATTTACTTCTGTGTGATTTGTGTCTAAATTAAAGAGAAACATTAACCAAAACATTTTTTTTTGTCTTATTTACGCTTTACAGATCTGCTTTCTGTGAGGTTTTTTTTTTTACACATTTGGTCCAACCGGAAAAGAAAATATGAGTATACACATTATATAAAAGTGCCTCTCCGTCACTCACACACACACACACACACACACACACACACAGAGAAGTACAACGGAGGACACTTAATAGTCCAAATGTGTGTTGCCTAACCATAAATCCACAGTGATGGAAATTAGACAGAAGTTTTTTGATGCTCTGATGAACCATCAGATGTTTCAGCAGCATTACAGTTTATAGATACTCTTAGATATTTTCAAAGGTGAAAAAATGATGGCGTGATAGACAAGAACGCTACATGTTAAAAGTTAGTCATCTCAGTAGCATTATGAAACATGCTTGGATCGTAGGTGCTTGAGGTGTGAAAATGTAGCATATTACTGAGAGGCATTTTGAAGGTTCAGTTCAAATGACAAATGACAAAAGGCATATTTTTCCACCCAACTCTAGTGCGGCCTGTCTAGTGATGTAGATAGTTTTAATTTACATAGTTTTGACTGAGATTTCCCCAGTGCAGCGGAGATGAATGGAATTCATTATGTGTTCAAAACACGCTGTCAGCTGTTTTCAGAGGAGCTATTTCTTCATTATAATGAAGCTATCAAAGGTCTGTGGATTATTCAGAGTAACCAGGGCATTATTCGGGAAAGACAAGCGTAATCTTTGAATATTTTAATCAGCACAAAATAAATTCCATTCCATTTCTAATTCTCAGGGCTGTTGAGGCAACTAATGATTATTTTCATTATCAATTACTCTGTCAATTATTAATTAATTGCTTTGTCTGAAAATTGAAAAAATATTGTGGAAAAGGCCCGTAACGATTTCCAAGAGCCCACAGTAACATCTTCAAATTGTTTTTTCAGTTTGAAAACCAAAAAATATTGAGTTTAGAGGAATATCCTCACATCTGAGCAGTTGGACGCAGCTAATATTTGTAATTTCATGCTTGAAAAATCAATCAATAATCAGAATAGTAGAAGATGAATTTATATTGTTCAACCACGTTGATTAATTGACTTATCACTTCATTTCTAGTATCTCTAAAATGGAACAAAAACAAGTCTGTATGGCTTCATACCACCAGAGTTCACTGAGTGCTGCCGTGCTGCTGCTGATTATGTTTGTGCATATTCTCTCATAGTTAAGTTATCATAACAGACCCAGACCCTAGGACCGCTGCACAGTACATATTTTATTTACTGGCATTTGTCAATATCTAATAAAGCAAGAACATAACCTATTCTCATGTATTTCACTATATCAACGCATTTATACAGCAAACTTTTGTAGTTAAAAAAAAATAAGAAAATATATAAAACTTCCCTATTGGATATGAGTCGTGCTGGTCTGACAACAGTTGAGGCTCTGTGGCAGCTTTTCTTTGGACAGGTAGAGCATGGGCTGGATGGTGCTGCTGAAGTCCATCAAGCCAAAGGCGACATAGTGAATATAGCAACGAAACACATCGGGAGAGAAGTAGTCCTGGAAGGGGAACAATGCGACAGGTGGGAAGTAGTTGAACACTATGATGGCCAGGATGATGAGGACCATTTTGAAGGCTCTCTTCTTCACAGGATGCATCTCGTCTCTGCCGGGCCCGGACTGCCGCAGCGCCCAGAGAATCGCAATGTTGCAGAAGACCATGAAGGCGAACGCTGCAAGGATCATCGCCGTGAAGACCTTCTCAAAGTTGACAATGTTGCCTACACATTTAGCAGCGGCGTAGGCCAGAGTGATCAGCCAGACCACCATGGCCAGGACTGCTCTGTGCTGGCGGTCCTTGAGCTCGGTGAAGGTGATGGGGTGGACCACAGCTACGTACCGGTCCAGGCAGATGCAGGAGAGGAAGAGTGGTGAGGAGTCTTTCATGCCGTAGAAGAAGCGCAGGACGTACCAGGTGCTGCTGGTGGTGAGGAAGACGATGTTGGCCAGCTCCAGAGGAGGGATGAGACAGAACAGTACGTCTAGAATCGCCAGATGAAGGATGAAGATATCTGATGTGGAGGAGTCGCCCTTGTTCTTGTGGATGAGCCACAGCACCATGAGGTTGGCCGGGATGCCCAGGAACATGTTAATAAACTGCAGGGCCAGGTACCAAATGAGAACAGCGGGCATGTCTTTGCAACGCTCGTACACCGTCTTCTCTTCAAAGGTGTAGTTGATGGGTCTGTGAGAGACGAAGAGCACGGAGGAGTTGATGTATAAAACCTCCATGACGGCCAGAAACAGAGAGTGAAGTGGACAGAGGACACCAGCCGGAGGAACAGAGATCTGTCTGACAAACACATTAGGTTCTGTTGTTAGAGACAAAAGACAAACTAAAACTGGTTTGATACTGATAAAACTGATAAAACATGAATATTTTGATGTTTTACTAAACATCATTTGTGTTATTGTGATATCAGAATTTAACTTAAATGTGTTGCTTTTCTTGGTCTTAAAGGCAACACAATAACTCATAACTTCGAAAGTGAAACGAAATGAAAGTGTTCCACCGTATCTATTGTATGTCTGTCAGAGGACATATCACATGTTAACTCATTAATATGGGGGCTCTGAGTCAGCTCTGCCCTGTCTCTGAGTATCAGTGTTAGTGGTAGTGAACTCACACCTTTAATTTGCACTTCCCTTAAACGGCCTCTGCTAAAAAAAGAAATGCTCCACTCACTGAGCAAAGTGTACTCATGATACAGTAGACTACAGTAACAATAAAAGTATAAAAAGTTTAAGATAAAAATTATAAAGAAAAACGTATATTTTAACAGTTGATGTAGTGGATCAAAAATAAAAAGGCGAACATAAGATAGTGTTAATTCATTAGTGGAATAAAAGATGTTGCATTAAGAAAAAAACCCCTCTTAAGATACACAATTAAAGTGCATTTTTCAAAATGTACATTATTTTTTCATCGAGTTTTGTTTTGTTAATGAAGCCTCTTACCTTTATGTGGTAATTAGTGTTCCACTGAACTAATCTCCTCTGCCCTCTAAGTTTCACCGTCACACTGACTCCCAAGCCCATTTCTTTTTCAGACAGCGCTGTAGAGCTGAGTGACATGACTACATGTTGACGTGACTTTAAAGGACTCACAGAATTGTTTGCAAAGTGTTCCTACATGTTTCCTCCGGGTCAACATGCGTCATATTCCATTATCTCTGTATCTAAGGGTGACATGTAAATGTGCAACCTGACTATGAACACAGCATCGTCTTCTACAGAACATTAGAACTAATAAAGTCTGTGGTGCCAGATTATTGCCACAGTAAAGGACCTGGCTAGAGGACAACATTACTCACCCAATGCAGAAGAGACTCATGAAAAATGGCAGTGCTGGAGGTCAGGAGTTACCGTTTTATGCAAAATGACACTCACCTGTTCAACAGGATACTGCAGCACCTTCCTAACGTGACTGGTGTCCACACTCTCCACCTAATCCTTGCGACTCCTGCTCAAGTCTGACCTAGTGTGATCAAATGCTGAGCCCCTCTCCTTAAAATGAATGGAAAACACCTTTTGGAAGATGACCCAACACTTCTGGGATCCTGCTCCATCTGATCATCCAATCGCAGCGTCGAGACGAGGGTGTGGAAGCTGAAGATCTCCCCCTGGATGCCATAATGTCTTGTTTGGCCCCTGTACATCCATCGCACCTTAAAAATGAACAAATTAAATAATCTTTAAACAACGAGGAGGATAATCACTTAAATAATGTGAAAGTGTAAAAGTGAGTGGGGGGTGGGGGGGTTGAACTGAAATTTAAAACAGGTTCATGTGGAGGACGTGTTGTGGCAAGCCATCATCCATTCACACCGATTGGCAATGATGCAACAAACCAATGGTGCCTGACGGAAAAATCGGCAGTAAACAACTGATGCAACAGAACAGAAAATCACTTCTGATTCACTTCAGTGTAACGATGTGTAATATGTTACGTGAGGCGGACATGTTTCGAGGAGTGATGTCTGTCGGTGGGGTTTGCTCTTCAGCCAATGTGCAGAGGAGGGACTGGAAACTACAGATCACTTCATCATACTTCACCGTCGCAGTCTGTATGTGACAGTGTTTTTCTATGCGTCAGGGTGTTAACGTCATTTACACATCATCCGCTGTTTTTCAGGGGCTAAACAATGACCCCTCAGGTGACCTTTGACCTCTTAGGCCTATTCTTTAGAGACAGTGAAAAGACTGCTGTGTGGCTCAGACTCATTCTACAGCATGCAGTTACTAAATCATCATTCTTTATGTTAATTAACATTGTCAATATATAATAATCTGTGAACGTTACAGTAAAGGCCTGTGGATTATTTTATCATTCATCACTTCATTACAGGTTATGGTGCATTGCTGGCGTTACAGTGTGTTGTGTGTTTGAACAGCTTGACGGCCCGTCTGTTGAAACCCGACTCAGGTTTGTTTTCCTTTGTGCGTGTCTTTGAGCCTGTTTGTATTGGTGTCGGGTTCACAGGACATGTGTTTCCATCCTATAAGGTAGAAGAGTCTCACAGGTTTGTTAAATTCTGCATCGCAGTGGAAACACACACTGCAGCAGCAGCAGCAGCAGCAGCAGCAGCAGCACGCAACTGCTTTTGTCCTAACAGGCCCCATTTGAGAGATCAGAGGAGCTTTTTGATGTTGTAATTTCATGTTGCTGGATATTTCAATGAAGATGATTTTTGCAGATTAGTATTTTACCACGACAAACAGTGGTACAAATGTTAAAATGGTTATCTTTGTCATTATGGGGAACCTTGTTAGATCATAATCCAACAGAAAACACCAGTCTGCTGTACAGGGATTCAAAGAGAGGTGTACAAAATGTTGTTTAGCAGCTATTTTGTGAGATTTTGATCAAATAGTAGATAGTAAACCCTTGTATCGACTCAGCTACGTATTCCTGAGCATGAAACATATAGACTATATACAGTATATATAACATACTGGCAGTGAGAGCGAAGGAAAGAAGGAAGTAAGGTTAACCATCACACAACTGTATTTACTGAGGATAAATGAGCTCAAATATCCAAAGTTAAGTTAAAGACCCCCTCCAGACATGTTTTAAGACATGTATAAAATTGTAAATTGTATTGCTTTCAATAATAGTTTGGGTCTGTTAGAGTTTCTCCTCAAAAAACGTACTAGTTAAAACCTGAAAATCTGTTTTCCCAACCCCTTTGTTTTTTTAACAACACATTTTTGTATTTCTGTATTTGTCCGTGCACTTGTTAGTGGTTTGATGTGGGTGGGGCTCAGGTGTGAAAAATGTCATGCACTCTTGAGCACAGGTCAGGATGTACCAGTATTTGAATCAAAACAATTCCATTTGCAAACGTCAGGATCAGTGAATAAGAGTCTGATTGTTGCCGAGCTGTTTGGTCACAAAGTCTGATCATTTCAAACTGTCCAACCTTTTCCAGTAAACGTTGCTTATTTAATCATGAATATTTATTATATTATTTATCCCTCAATCAAATATCCAAAATCTATGAATATGCAATTATTAACTGTTGGACTCATGTTTAGAGCACTGGAGGTTCAAAGTTTCCACATGACCTTTTGTTTTAGTTGGACATTGGACCAAGACCTGCTCCTTTTATGTTGTTACAACTATGTTTTATAGTTTTGTCATTCATCATCTGTTTATACAACAGCCTCCTTCTATGGGTGTCCACAGGGCGAGTTACAGTTGTTACCAATTACATTAATAAAAACTCATATCAGCTTACAACTACATTATAGTGTGTTATAAACCATATAAACAATTTCTTAACTGTTAATGTATAGAATATAAATGCTAAATGGGGGAGGTAAAGAAGTGTTACTGGTACTTTCCACCTTCAGCAGACAAATGTGACAACACCAGTGTCAGACTTCACACACACATGACTCTTCACAGTGAAGGTTAAATATATAAAACCCAAACACAGCACACACCCAGTCAAGTGCATCAAAAATGTGGGAGCAGAAAAGGGGGGAAAAAAACGAATAGTAGGAAGCTTATCTCAGGAACTGATGTACTCTCATGTTGAGCCCAAAGAGATCTGTTGGTCAAAACTCATCTATCATGACACATCTGAACAAAAAATAAAAATACTTGTATTGTTATAATTTTTAGAAGAATACAAACCTGGAGGATAGGATAGATCATCTCCGTCTTATAAGTCTGGAAAAAAGAGAAATATGAAAAAAAAAATGCACAGATTGGAAAAATATCCATTTCATAAATCTTTTATGGGCTGATTGTGTTTCTCTGATCGTGTCTAAAAAGGACACTACAAAGAATCGCAGAGCCACAGTCAGCACCGTTTGGTCATATTTATTTTTTTAACATTTTGTCAGAAGTCTGAGTACTCTCAATAGAAAGCAGAAGGAAGAGTTTCACTCACACATAATGTAGTTTGAGCAGCAAGAAACATACAATCAAACAAGTGGGAAACAGACATCAACAGTATATAACTATGTTATGTGCAGACATCCCAACAGTACCGTACAAATCCATTATAAAACTATGTTTTTTTTTCCTACCACCACCCACTAACTATATATGCCTTTTGTAAACTTGTGGATGGCTGAATGTTTTTTTCAGTTTAGTCTAAAGTCAACAGTTTCCAGGCTGATCCTGGTTAAAGGGCACGATTACAAGGACAAAATGGGTTTTTACATCTGTGCTAATGTTTAATCTCCAGGTTTCAAACAGAAATCTCTTCAGATGATAAATATCTTATAGCTGAAAATATGACCCATGCAAAGAATCCACTGTAAAGACACACAGGGGATGTAGCACTAGATAGCAAAAGTGTTTTTTTTTTGTTTTTGTTTTTTCTGACATGACATCAGAACATCTCCCAACTCGGACACATTCACCATCTACCATGTTTGTCCTCCTCAGCTCTCTTCTACGTGCAAACTTCTCTCATCTGTCTCTGCTGCAACATTTCGTAGGCTTGTAAACTGTCCTTCCATCTCGTTTCAGTCTTTTAAAAAATCCCAAAATTCATGAAAGGTCTTAACATTTAACATGCTACTATAAAATATAGTAAAACTGTTCTTCTCAGCCATTCCTCTCTCTTAGTGTTTGAAATTAAAAACCAAAAACCAATAGGTAAATGTCAGGTAAACATTATTATTATCATTTTACATTAAAAGGAAGGAAATACTGAAGACGAGGGTAAAGTGTATCTCATAATGACTGAGATTAAAGTATCAAACTTAAAAGGTTTAAACAAAAATGTAAATGATAGGTCACAGCAAGCAGATGCAGCTGATTTGTTTTCATATCAAACTGTAAGAATATGGCATTTTATTCCAACAGATACCATTCCCACTATTGTCCAATTCCTTTTTGGACCACTAAGTTAAAGTTTCTGTTTTTAGAGCTGCCTGTGCAGTCAGGCAGCAGAAGAAAAACAACAGTCTTTTGGGAGTGGGAGTGGAGATCTTGCAGATGCTGCAAGAAATGGAGAGATGGGATCTCATGGGACCCCACTCGCATCTTGATAGTGTTCCAGTCTTTTCAGCTTGGTGGGAGTGCTTGTGCGGGGAGCGTGAAGGCAGCAAGTAAGAGAGCCTTTTCGACTCTCGGGTCAAGTCATTCGGGAGTGTTCACGTCTAGGTAGTGCGTGGTTTGGTTTGGGGTGGAGTGGTGACATGCTGCAGTCGAGGGTTTCGGCGTGTCCTGGCTAAAGGTGCATCACTGCCACGAGTGGTCAGTTGGGTAAACAAAGAGTTAACTTCAGTCCTATAAAAGTTGGATCCAGACCAGCGCAGATATTTCAACATTACGTCATGATGTTTCCTAGAAACACGGTGATGTCACGATGTTGGGTGTAATTGTTTTCAGATGAAGGTGGAATCCATGGTGCTGGTGTCTTGCGCGCTGCGGGCTCGCGCCTCAAAAAGCTGCTTTATCAAGGCTGATTTCTCCTGTTCCAGCTGCGCGATGCGTTCACTCTTCTCCGTCACCTCCTTGATGAAAAAAGGGAAACGAAGTGAATGTCAGACATTACTCCTAAAGGCTACGGTGACTTATATCTATTGGCAGTTTGTAGACTGCGTTGAACCTGTGTGAGGAGTCGGTTCTGGTCCTTCAGTCTCTGGATGGCTTGTGGAGGAGCTGGAGGTGGAGGCTGGGAGTTTGCTGAGAGCGCTGCTGTCTGAGCACCACTTGAAGGAAATGACTGCCGGGAAACAAAGAGGAACTAGTGTTAAATGAAAAATCAACACCAGATATACTGTTACATATCATGTTGGTTTGTCATGGCGCGTCATAATTTACATGTTTAATTTCATAAAGCCAGTTTCCCATATCCTGCTGTGGTCGTTTCATCTTCAGACAGAGATTTCCTTGAACGCTATTTTGAGAAATATTTACTGCATTCATCTTTTGGTCAGACAAATTTTCCAGTAACAAAAAAGAAAGACTTCCTCTTGTAGCCTCCTCATGTTTCCTTGTAACAGACATGTTTTGTGTAGAACTAGGCACTGTCCACAATTTTATCTCGTAGTTTTGGCTTCCCAAATAAAAAACACAGAAACATCTTAAATTCAATTTCAAATTCAGTTCAACAAATCCTCTTTAAGTAGCTGGCAGAAATTGAAAAGATGAATGGGCCATCTGATAGAAAGAATGTTAATTACAAGAAATAAAAGCTCACTGTTGTTGATTGTTGTTTTTGTAATGTCATTTTTTTCATATTTTGTGGCCTTAACACATGCAGACTGTCCTATTTTTCTAGAAAAACCCACCTTGTAATTCTGATCACCTAAAACCTTAAAATGATGGCTCAAACAGATTATGTCTTTTGCGTTGCAAACATTCACCCACTGTAAATGTACAGCTCGCTTGTGGTGGTGGTCAGTTTAGATTTTCTCAAATCAGTCCTGCAGATTAATCTCCTCTCCGATGTCCATCTGCATTCTATGTCCCAAACACAAAATACTGCTAAACCACTACTTCCATTGATGCAGGAGCAGGGGACAGTAATTCAAACCAACACAAACGACCTGTTACATTATCTCTACATTGTGAGTTTACAATCTAGATTTATATTTAGATTGCATCTACATATCCTGGGACATTAAGGAATGTTTGACTTAACTTAGATCCCAGTGTTACCAAAGTAAAAATATGTATGGTCAGTAACACTCACCATCCCAGTGCAGGAAATAAGGTCATTAAGGCAGTGGTTGACTTCTTGCAGTTTGGGAATGAGAACATTCATGCGACTCTGATTAGTTTCTGTGAAGAAATCCTGAGAGGAGAGAACACAGAGACAAAATGAACTCAAGAAAGTGGGTAAAGGTCTGAGAAATGTCATGAAAAGGACAAGCTTAGGTACAAGGAGATCAGTTTGAAATAGTGATTAAGGAAAAGATTACACAACTCAAACAAAAACACACCAAAACATGTATTAACTCTGGCTGGTACTTTACTCTGTCAGGTATACCTACGTTCCCCTTAACCTGCCTCATCTAGCTATTCAGTTTCACATTTCCCAGAATACCTGTGTGAAAGTGACAACCTGAACTAAAGGCATGCTAAACGTTTGGACTGTCAGTGGGGAGAGGGAGAGCCCAGACAATCGAATACTTATAGTTTAAATAATATCTCTAGGCAGGACATGAACAGCAGTAAATTTAACTTTGCATTAAATTTTCTCTATTTGTTTTTTAAACAATCAGACAAGTAAAATCTAAACGAACAGCATGAGAGAGAAGAATCAAAAAACATGATTTTTTTCTGTACTTGAGAACATATTCTTGTGCAGCCTCTAGTACACACAGGAGTAAAAACCATGGCTCTATACTAGAGTTCATGCTAGATGTTGATTGTATTGTTTGTTGTTTGTGTTGCGTTCTATTTTGTCGTTTGACTTGGGAATATGATAAAAGTTAAGTTCAAAAATTATAAATACGTATTGTGCGTGGGATGATGTAATATCGTCTGTATTTGGCCAGTTGTTCATACCATTAAAAAACAACAAAATACAACAGGCTGTTGTATGGTAGCTTTTTAGCTTTGAGAGTCTCAGACCAGCGCCTGAACTGACCGTGCAGTGGGAGCTCTGGCCGACCTGCCGCTGTCTCTCTGTGACATTGTGGATTTGGCCCTGGTACCAGTCTCGGGCCCGCTCCACAACTTCCAGGCCCGCCAGCAGAGAGTCCTTCTCCTGCTCCAGCTCTTTCATTTGCTTCAACTATGTGAGAGAGAAGTTAAAAAGGATGGTATGTTGAGGAAAGGAACAGGAAAGGAGTAAAATGGTGGAAGAGGAAGGAGAAAAATTCAATTAAGAACACACAACATCAAACCAGACTTCACAGAGACCCAACAGCAAAAAAAAAGCATTTAATTTTCGTATTTCCCATGCCATCACTAAGAGAGCTTTCAGACTGCTGCCAAGATTAAATCTAATCACTGATTTTGGGCTGCCAGCAGTCTGCATGGTAGACAAACTCCCATGTTTTCACAAGGGCATCTGCAGCAAACTCTTTTGTGCTGGTGGAGACAATGGCGCCATACCAATTGTGCCGGATTCTCTCCCATCCTGAACAATGTTTAGAGGAGCAATCAGTCCAGCGTCATGGCAACCGCGCAGCAACCTAAGAATGGGGCAAACAGCGGACCCACTTCAACTATGGCCACCCCAGTGTGCATGAGTGTGTGTGAAAAAGAAGAGAGAGGTGTGTTTGTTTGTGTGTGTGTGAGTGTGTGTGTGTGTGTGTGCGTGCATGTGCGTGTGCACCCCAGCAAGGCTGCATTGAGTTGTGCTGACCAGGCTGTCCATGCGGCACATTGCCACAGTGCAGGCCTCATTGCTGGCATTCAGCCACCTGGTGTGTCATCTTTCTATCCACCCATCGCTCCATTCCTCCATCCCTCCATCCCTCCGTCCCCCGTGTAGCTCAGTACATTCCACTGATCGTCGCTCATACACCAGAATACATGTTACCACGGTAAACTAAACAGAGGACGACAGATTTAAGAGACCAAAATCAAATCCTGTTTAACATACTTGTGCTCTTTCCACATAAAGCCTGACGACAGAGAGAGTTCACAGAGGAAGACAGGAATTGGGGGGGTGTTCAGGGAAGAGGAGGGGGTCTGGGCTCCGTGTCTAGAATGAAGCATGACCCAGTGTCAGGCTGCATGAATGTGGTGGGCCAAAGGCAGGAAAACCCACTGTTAAAAAGAAAGAAAGAAAGGGAGCAGAGGAGAAAATACACAGAGAGAGGGAGCAGGGCAGCAAATGGCTGAAAGGTTATGGAAAAGTCTGTGCATGTATGTTTGTGTTCTCTCTGCTGGCTGAATGAGTGGGAATGAATACACACAGAAACGCACGTACAATAACATGACACCCACTGCACAAGCTGTTTAGGTTAAAAAACACAAAGAACAACATAACAGCCTTTCAAAACGTCATCTACAAAGCACCAGGAGACAGAGTGGCCCGAACCTTGACGCTCCACAATAGAACAGCAGGTCAGAAGCAACAAGTCCCAAAATAACAAAATATTTACATATGTTCACTATTTTTCTGATTAGTTTCATTGTTTAGTTTATAAAATGTAAAACAATAGTGAGAAATGCCAAGGAGATGTCTTGAAATTGCTTGTTTTGTACAACTAACAGTAAAAAAACAAAGATTTAATTTTGCTTTATATTAAAGAGAGAAAAACAGCAAAACCACATATTAATAAAATAATAAAACCAGGGAATGTTTGGTATTTTTGCTCAATGTTGATTAATCGACTAATTGACTACTGCTTTCAGCACTATCCACACCCCGAAGCTCTGCAACACTTAAGCAGTTACTGCTCACAAAACAGAAAAGATATATTTTCATTTTTGACCTGTCATCAACGAGTTTATCAAATGTTAGGAAACACTGAAAAATGCCCATGAAATTCTTCATATTGCTTGTTTTGTCTAACAAACACTTCATTATCCGAATATATTCAATTTACAATGATATAAAAAAGAAAAATGGAGCAAAACCTCAAATTTGCGAAACTGCAACCAGAAAATAAAACACAGTTGTCGATTCAGCTCTGTCTGTCGACTCCTCACTACAGCACTTGTCCAAACCCTGAGGCTCTAAAACCAACCAACACGTTCCACAATCCCTAAAACAAGCAGATAAATAGTTTTTGTTATCCTGATCAACACAAACACTGAATTCCCAGTGAACCTAATCATAACTTTTTATCTCCTCTATTTGGCTCAACTGTCACAATTAAGTATCAAAACAACCTAATACACATCTCCAAATCCTGAAATAGACTCATTGCAGAACCATCTCAAAGACCAGCTTCAATTTCCTCTATCCTCGACAAACATCTCTCCCTCTCCCTCCCTGTCCTTCTCTCCCTCTCGTCCTACTCACCCAGAGAAAAAAGTGCAGGGCTTTGCTGCTGTAGAGGCTACTGCTGAGGGGGATGAAGACGGTAGTGTAGGCAGCCCACACAGCCGTCCAGGCTGGGCCGGGCCGCCCGAACGAGTCCTCTACTTCTACCAGGCCCCTGGGCCCAACCCGGCTCACTACCATCAGGGCAGCAGCGGGCCAAGTCGGCCTGGGTGGGAGGGACAGAGGGAAGGGGGAGGAGGAGAGGGGCAGGGAGGGAGGGAGAAGGAGGGGAGTCGGTCAGTCAGCCTCTCCAGACACAGAGGCCAAGGGGAAAAGAGACGGAGACGGCAACACAAACAGGGAGAGAAGGAGGGAGAGGAGGCGAGCTGGAGAGAATGAGAAATGGTGAGGCAAGGGGAGAGACGGAGAGTGAGAGGAGGCATGAGCTCCTGACTGGAGGTGGGAGGGGCAGAGTGAGGGGGGAGGCAGGGGGCACAGGGAGGGGAATGTGGAGGCCAATGGAAAGTGAAATGGAGAAGAGCCTGCACTTGAAACTATTTTTTTTTACATTCTCCTGGTATTTACATGCTTCAACTATTTACATCACTACAGATATAAACTATTGAATGACCTACAGTCTATCTTTAAAAGCCTCTGTCCCCATTACATCCAATCATACTTAAATCTGTCTATCTCAAAGTCTTGACCTATGATCCACTGTTTTCACACAACTCAACACAACTAAAATGATAATAAATACAACAGCAAAACACAATTTATCTCATGCAACACCTTTACTCAACGGTTGTCACGTTTTGTCAGTTTGAACAACTGAACAACTTTTCATTAATGATTAACCTGCTAGTCTAAGAAATGTCAGAAAAATGTCAATCACAATGTCTCAGAGCCAAAAGTGACATCTAACTTCAACTACGCTTTGTCCGACCAACATTGAAAAATCCAAAGATTCAAATTACAATCACATAAGACAAAGAAAAGCAGCAATTTCTGACCTTTGAGAAACTGGAAAATCAATTAATCATATAGTCCATCAATAGAATTTAATTGTCAACAATTTTAATACTTGCAGACAATTATTAATAGTTGTTTAATTCATTTATCATTTATTTAGGAAAAACATCTAAATATTTGCATATATTCCTGCTCAATAAATGTGAACATTTGTCAATTTTCTGTATTTGTTTTTTATAATAAATGTGAACTTAATATCTTTGAGTAAAAATGAAACAATTAATGGGTTAATTCAAGTAATTGACAGATTACTTGATAATGAAAATCATTTTTAGTTACAGCCCTAATTCTAATACAGAGAAGAGAAGATGATCCTGGAAGCGCAGCAACAGAACCAATACTCAGATTGCTGCCATAGTTTTGTTGAACTCAACATGTACTGACAGTGCTGTGAGCAGTGAGCTTGTGTAAATGTAGACCAATAGTGAAAAGACATGTTTCCAAGCTACTGTAATGTCCTAAATATGAAAATGAGCAACAAATCTGAGGTTGATTTTCCTTATCAATTAGTCTGTCAGTTATTTTCATGACTCATCCATTAATTGTTTTGTATATAACATGTCTGAAAGTTGTCCAAAATGCCCATTGTAATTTCTCACAACCCAAGGTGACATTTAAATTAGTTTGTCTTATTTGACCAACAGTCCAAAGCCTCAATTTAAAGGAGGTGGGTGGTGGTGCGATCCATAGCAGACCCACTCATCATTAATGTCACCCAGAACCTGGTTTGCTGGTTATTTATGAAAAACTATGTATGCAAACGTCATCGCTGATATACAGACACAAGTAAGGCTACTGCCCAGTGTTTCGTTTGTGTGTGTGTGTGTGTGTGTGCGCGCGCATGTGTGTATACCAACCATTCCGTAATCCACTCCATTGGATATGGTATGCCGTCTCTGCTCTTCCCGACTCCGCCCGTGTCGTCTAGAGCCACCAGTAAATCCTGTTGCTGATTCGCTCTGAGATCTTGGTAAACCCGATTTCACAACACCTAGAAAAGTGGAGACAGACACATCTAATAAATTTCAACACAACACTGTCATCTGGTCTGCACTCTGTATATACTGCAGTTTTGTTTGTCGCCTGCTGAACATAACTGTGACAACAGTACAGGGAAAAACACAATCCTTAATGGAAACATTTGAAAATATGACTCACTCTAATCATTTAGGTGATTGCTTGAGGTGAAATACAACATACTTCTGACCACCATGTACAACTTTAATAGCAAAGAAGCAACAGTGGTGAAAAAAAAAATTTAAAAGGCTATTTTTGCAGCAGGCATTCAATGACACATGCCACACACAGTGATTAGAATCACATACAGTCAAACTTTCATCCAAGGTATGTAATCCAGGTGAGTCTGAAAACTAACTCACTCAGCAACAACTAATATTGACTGCATATGTTCAACTGACTGCATAGTCAACAACACTAAAGGTACATCTCAAAAGAAAAAGAATCATTAAGACATTTATCATGTCAAAGTTTTATAACAATGCATTGTGTTTCTCACATCCTTAGCTGGTTCAGTATGTGTGTCTAAATCAGTCCCTGATGTAGCAAATGTGAGATTGAATTTTACTGGGCAAAACACCTTCACATCTATAGACGATGATGAAAATAATGCATTTGGGTTGCCAGTGTATGATGTATACCACATGAGGGAGCTGTACTCTGCAAATGTTTCTGGTATCAACAAAGCAGGACAACTTTTATTTCATGGTGTGCACTGAACTCAACACAGAGTGACGTGATAAATGTGGCAAAAACAGTGATACTGAAAAGGCTTCATTAAACTTTCTTATTTTTTCTTTCTTTCTTTTTTTTTTTATTAAATGTGAAACTAATTATGGTCCCTTGTCTGATTATTTGACTGAGGATGTGGAGCAGAGGGAAAAATGTGAAGTATCTGAGCTTGGGGCTAGAAATCAACAACACACGATAACCTGAGCAACCTGGGCAAGAGAGCTGGAAGAACAGCGATTAACAGTGTAATAAGCAAAGTGTGAAGGTGGATAGTAAATACCACTTTAAGAATTTTTTGGCACAAGGTTAGGATGTGTTTGTGTTTGCTTTGTCGTGATCAGGAGAAAGACAAAGAAAGAGGGAGTGTTTTTCTTGATTATTATTGATTGGTTATTGAGTCAAACTTGGGTTTGCATTTCTGTCCATTTTAGTCAAAACAGGTGAATTTCAATTTCATTTTAAACTTTTTTTTTTTTTTAATAAAAAGGAGGGAAATTTGAACATCTTCAGTTCCATGACAATTTGGCATCTGCTGATGAAAACCATGTGATGTTTGAAAGTTCCCGAGCAACTACTAAATGGTCCTTGTGGTGACATTGTTTTGTCAGCTCCTGTCCAACAGCAAAGTGTGATACTCAGCACTGTTTTCAGATATTCCAAAAATGACATATAACAAGGTTTTCCTCTGCTCCCTGCTCCTTCAACTCCCCTTAAATCTCTGCCCTGCTCCTGTGTGTGTGGGGTTTGTACATTGTTCTGTGTTTTCTGTTTCCTGTCAACACATGTAGGTCTGTGAGTAAGTGGAGGCTGTTTCCTTGCTGCTCAAAACTGTGAGTGAAAACTTGGCAAAGCATCTCAGTGGCTGTTTTTTTCTTTTTTCCCGTAGTATCAATTCCCCTGATATCTACTGTGGTATTTTATTATGGTCAGATTTTTTAGATGTAAGTGCATATCACCCCTGCTGACCTTTCTCAAAAACATGAGAGGAGCGAGGGAGTGAGAGTGTCAGGAATTTGTGCTGATGCCCAGGGTGTAGGGGAGTTTTTCACAGATGCAGCGATTCAGTGAGCTCTGGCCTTTCTGCTGTAATCTGGCCTAATCCAGCAGGGTTTGGCTGCATATGAGAGATTACATCATGGAAACTGCTGGTCTGGCTCTCTGCACCAATTGGACAAAAGTATGTGGACACCCAAATGTAATTACTAAACCTTTCGTTCCAAAACTATGGGCATTAATATGCAGCATTAACATTCATGCAATATTCTGTTTAGGCTCTGCATAAGATTTTGGAACCTGGCTGCAGGGATTTGCTTCCATTTAGCCATGACAGCATTAGTGCGGTCGACCACTGATGTTGCGTGATAAGGCCTGGCTCACAGTTGTTGCAATTCATCCCAAAAGGTGTTGGACGGCGTCGAGATCAGGACTCCGTGCAGGCCACTCAAGTTCGTCCACACCAAACACAGAAAACCACATCTTTAAAGACCTCACTTTGTGCACAAACAAAAAAGGGCCTGCCCCCAAATTTGGAAAAAAAAGCCCTAAAAAATGTCAGTGTATGCTGCAGCATTAAGATTTCCCTTAATTGAATTTAGGAGTCCAAACCACAAACAGCTGCTGACCGAAAGCACACAAAAGTATGTGAACTTTTCTTTCTGTCCATCCACTGTATCTATCTATCCATCTATCTAACTCTCTGAAAACACAACATCATCCTCAGTGGTGCAAGCAGTGAAAGCCCAGAGGGCTCGACAGAGAGAGTGTGACAGTGTCAGTCTTATAGCTTTAGACAGGCCTAGCTGTATAGAGATCATGCAAATTTGGATGGACTCCAGTTGTGTGTGTGTGTGTGTGGGTGTGTGTGTGACAGAGAGAGAGAGAGAGAGAGAGAGAGAGAAAGAAAGAGACACAGCATGTAAAAGGACTCTGGTATGATTGTGAGAGGAGGAGGAACAACAGTGAGCCTGTATGAGAGCCTGTATGTATGAACGACATAATGAGCAAGCGAACTGGGAGTTTCTCTGCAGCAGCTCCTCTAACCTACATCCGACACACCAGAGAAAAACTGGACACATGAACACGTTAACAACTGACAGGCGATGGCCTGTTCCCCAATCAGATACCCATGGCAGGGATAACTTTGTCCTCCATCCACAAGCCAGACCCTCAAGGTTTATAAATCTCTGTGGGAATTTCTGACATGATCTCTGACCTGACCTGGGGTTAACAACAGCAATTATTCAACTGGGCACCCATCTTTGAAGCAGAGGCCCTTAAAGAGGCCTGTTTGAGTGGCGACATAATAGTGATACCTGAGATGTTTACTGTCAAAACCCCAACTAAGACTGTTTTGGACCACTTTGAGGATTAAGGCAAAGTTTCCATTTTTAACTTTAACTTAACGTAGGACTCCTGCTGAATGACAAAAGCTGACATGCAAGCACTATGCAGACATTGTGCACTTGTGTGTACTACATGGATCACTGCATCCAATTAAATTATAATATGAGATAGAAGCTGGCAAGACTGCAGTGGACATATCAGTTCAGTTATGCATGCAGTCAAATGGCTTGCTCATGGGAATTTAGTCTTGGGTGTATCATGATAGTTATTCAGGGACGCAGTAGCTCCGTTTCTGACTAACATCCTTAAGCACATTTGTTGGTGCCCAAATAAGATTTTGTTGTTGTTTCAAGGTTGCAGCAACAGGAGGAGCAAATGCAAACGGAGGCGCAAACAAAAGCAGTAGCTGGATTAAAAATCCTTAAAGAGGGATGGGAGTACTGAGGGAGGTGCAGATGCAACTAGCAGAAGCATCTAGCATGAACCTTTGACAGAGTAGTGGCAAATATGACAATCAATAAAAAACGACTTGACCACAAGTTCTCTAATCATTTACATCCTAAATATTGTAACTTTTGCTGGTTAAAGCTTCTCAGATGTGTGGATGTGCTGTTTTTCTGTTTTGTAAATTGAATATCTTTGACTCTTGGTCAGACAAATTAATTATTGAAGTATTATATACTATTGACTTCTTCTTTGGCTTTGATAAACTGTGATGGATGTTTTTTTTACTATTCCCTGATATTTTATAGGGTTAATAATAGACTCACCGAACTGTCCCCCCAGCCCCTCATACACACGCACTCACATAATTTCAACTACTTAGAAATGGCTTTCTTGGTTGCACTTACTTTGTCCTTGGAGCTGTGGTGACTCCAGAGCAAGTGACTCAATTGACCTGACCCGGCTCTGCTGGGGCTGTGTCGGTTTAGTGGCATGGCCCGAGTCGGTTCTGTAACAACCTCCCTCCGGAGCGACAGGAATCCGCTCCAAACTCCGCCCGGACCTCTCGAAGCCCGCGCTGTACCTCGCTGGTCCACACGCGGGGTACCCGGGTCCCTCCTCCTGCCTGGCCCGGCTCTGGAGGGAGGACGCCCGGTGCTGCTGAGTGTTGGGCACGTTGCTCGACCCCAGCGGACGGACCTTGTTCTCGACCCGCGTTCCGACACTGCATGTGGATAGCGGGGCGGGTTTCTGGGACTGCTTTGGAGCCTGCTGCGGATGCACGGCAGCCTGGGCCTTGAAGTGGGAGCTGTTCTCTGGGTTGAGCATGGAGTACCGCAGCCCCGCAACAAACCGCTCAAAGGTGAGACAGCCATGCGGTGGAGTGACCCTCCTCAGGCAGCCCAGCACCCCACCGGGCAGGTCCTGGGTGTCTGCGCCCTGCCAGCGACTCTCGATCTCCGAGATGTGGACATAGCCCCGTCCACCATCATCCAAAATGTCAAACAGGGTCCTCAGGCTGTGTAGGAAGGCTTTGGGCAGACCATCTGTTGAATACTCCGTCTCTTTTGGCTGCATTTTTGCAGTTTTAAAGCCCTCCGCCTTGCCCTGAAACACTTCTTTTCTTGGCCCAACTCTGCCGTAAATCGCCGACGTCCCGTTCAGTTTGCAGCCTCGGTCAGTCGCTATCAAAGCCATGGAGGTATTGATAATCTCCGCTGACTAATTAGTCAAAAACAAACCAACACAAGTTGGCTTACTTTATGTAAACAGACAGCTGAACATACAGAGTAACACAGGGAATTATCGTTCACTGAAAAGCAAATTACATGTATTTTAAAAGGATTTTAGCCTGAAATCTATATATGTTTCACCGTTTCTGCAGTCTACCTTCCACCGATACTCCACCGCTCTCTGATCCATACTTTCCTTTTTCTGCCGAGGACCGCCCTTCAAACGGCTGTGCGCGAGGGTCCCGGGACCAGCCATTGGCCGCGGTGTGCACGAGCTCGGCGTTCATTGGTGCAGGCCTGAGGTAAGCTCCAGTTTGAGTTGTGCTTTTGTTATTACTGACGCTGCTGAGACGTTATTCATAAAGCCTGGATATTATTATACACTCCCCTCCTCTTAATCAGAAAGAGCTGGGTAAACTATCCCTTTACAGCCCCCCACACCCCCCACCCCACTAACACACACAGTCATCATGGGGGAACAAAACCCTTTTGTTTCACCTGAAACTTTTTAACTCTATGATTAAAGGAAAGCTTCACAATTTCCCAAGTCTGTTTTAAAATAGTACTCATGTATAGCACATGTGTATATTGAAAGAGATTTTGCTTGCTGTAATCAATTCCCCTGTTCACACTCCCTTTCTAATGCAAGGTTGGATTTCCACCAAATCTGCAGTACGATATTAACACTTTGCAACTGTTACTTTTCCCTCTTTAAGTATACAATACTAGTATATTTTACTTAAGTAAAGTTTTGATTGTAGTACTTTTACCTGTAATGGAGTATTTGTATTGTGTGATAATGCTAGTTTTACAGAAGTAAATGATATGAACATTTCCTCCAGCACTGCCACATAGCCACAGGAGCTGGGAATAATAAAAGACACACCTGTGCAACACATTCTGCTATAGGCAATAATATAGTTGTGTTAAAAAGCTGTATTATTATCTTCTTCTTCTACACCTCCTGGCATTCTCAAAATTATGAAAATTATGAAATTATTATTGACCTACAGTGCATTATGTTGTTCAGATATTTCTGTACTGTGTCATATCAAATGGGGAAACTATACAGTTGCCATTTTGATGGAAGTGGAATGACATTTAATAGAAAATTGTGCATCTTGTGCAGGGTTAGAGTTAGCTTTTTAAACATGTTCTTGCTTTAAAGGCTAAAATCTTTCATAATCCTATACTAGAATTTAAACTAATCTTCTGTGGGAAATATTATAAATATTATATATTACACAGGAGTTGTATAACTCTGAGATCTCTGAAGTTGAAGGTTAAGGCTCTTTTATGCATTTTTACTGTTATTTTATGGGATGTTGTTCCAATAAACAACCATTAATTATTGATTTGGTCACACTTTACAGAGTAGCCCTGACCTCCTACCATCAAAGAAAACATCTACTCCTATCAAAATAAAGTGCCAGGTTTCTTTACCACACCAAAGACCTTTTCATCATGCGTCACTTCTGATATTATGTAATACGATTTATATCAAGATCTTCTCTCAGGCAGGCTTAAAATCTGCACTCTCCCTGCACACAACTTAAATCCAACTCTCACACAGTCAAAACACATTGCAACCATTTCTGGCACATCAGTGACACTTTTTCTGTTTCTCTTTCTCCAGGGATGAGTCACACATAGAAACTCTCAGCCCCTGCACAGACCAGTGTTTATCTCTGATCTGCCCAGACTTGCACTCTCATCCCGTCACCATCTACAAAAACTTTAGCAGTTTAATCTCTTGTTGGTTTAGTGTCTCTTATATCTTTCATTTCTCTTGTGTTGATTTTGATTTTATCCTCACACTACATATTCCTTAGTTAATGTATACTTGTAGTGCTAATCCATCTGGCATGATCGTAAAGCACTTTGGGTTTTTAAAATGTGCTATACAAATAAAAGTGACTTGACCTGGCTTGGTGAATGCTGAAGACATTGTCACACTCTCACAAAGGACTACCTATAATTTTCCTGCCTAATGCGTACTGTTCCTGTCAGACCAGATAATGAATCACATATTTTCCCTATTATATTATTCAAATGTACTGTACAGAGGTTGCAAGACAGGATACACAACCAATAAATCCCCTCAGGGCAAACATATGTACCCCCCTCCCACTGGCAATCAGTCACACACCAGTTGTTCTTGTTAACACATTAATTCGTGAGGATTGATTATGACTCTAGGCTAGAGAGCAGAACCAATAGATCAGATGCTCAAATGCTCAATAGATTTGACCCAGGACTGGTTTTGTTTTTTTCCACTTGGGGCTGCGGAAAGGTTGGAAATTATGTTTATTATTAGGCTTTTTTTGGGATTTATTCAGCTCTTTATATAACCAAAGACAGACAGACAGAGGAAGAAAGAGGAGAAAGAGACACACACACTGTCCAGTTGCAGCTCAGATCAGTGCGATCACTCGATTCACTCGAGTCAGACAACTGAGCACTCACTCCTGCTCTCCTCGTCTCTCTTTCCCATGCTGTCACGCACATGCATTGCTGCTGCTGCTGCTGCACAGAACAGCCAAATACACACTCACACACTGTAGGATTTATTAACTATGCCAAGTGGTTGCCAATTGTCCCATCAGGCTAGTCCATACCGCTGTTCGTTTTAGTTAATAGGCTGATCTTCAGCTCCACTGGTCAGTCAGTCTTGTCATGTAACACGAAGCCTACGCAGTCTTTTCCCTCATTATCTCCTGTTTGCCCTCTCTTTCTCTAAGTCTTTTCCTTCAGCCGTATCAGTGTGCATGTGACAAAGGATTTGAGAGCTTATTCAATTCATGAAGCCTGTTTTTTTTTCTCTCTCTCTCTCTTTTTTTGGACGGGAGATAGACACAGAAAGAGACTTCAAAACCTTCAAATCTTGGAGGTGTTAAATCAGATTTGAATTACAGTCAGTGGGAGGACAAGAACGAGAGGAAGCAAGAGTGGGGGTGGAATCAGTCTGCACAGAGATGGAGAGAAAAAAGGAATATTAAACCAAAGCCAAAATCCTCCCTTATTCAGACTGTCTTTACTATGAGAATCTCCCATCCATGCCTTTTCTCTTTTTCTGTCTCAAAATATGTTCTCCACTCTGCCGCTGTGAGCTTGGTGTTTTCAGCTCTCAGAATTTCTTTGGCTAGTTCTGCATGAATCAAACGCCCTGGACTTTGGTCGCTTCACTCACTTGAGGTGTTAAAGTATGCCTGAAAGGCTCTATTGTCTCAGTGACCTGCACTGCATGGTGCAGAATTTATGTTACTAACACCTTCATGTGCAAACTAGTTCAGCTATGCAAATAACAGAAAGTAATCATAATTACTTTTTTTCCTTTGCCACCACAAAATGATTCTGTATTGATGGGATCTACATATATATTTTTTTAGAAATTTTCACGCATTGACTCAAATTTTCTCAATTTTAAAATGAAAGCTCTTATTTACATGCATTTACAGCTGTTTTTTTGGCACTTGAACATCACATTCACATAACAGCATCTGTCTTTGTGAAGGGGATGAGTGCTGCACCTGGATGGGCTCATCATTTTTGCATGTCTATGTGGTAAAGGTCTCCAGTGCTAGTGTTTTGTTTTGTTTTTTTTACAAGGATGGCAGATGCTCAAAATGGTAATACCTCTGAGTCTGGGTGCTTGCCAAGGCAGGATCAGCAGTGTTCCCCTCTGTGTCACATACACTATGTGGCTGGTTATTGCATGCGTCTGTAGAGCACTGTGCAAATACGCTCGTACTCATATCTTATATTTTTGGAATTTTGAGGGATTATATTCGTTCGATCAAAACCAATTCATGCAGCGGAGGCATCCAGCGTGCTGGTTGAAGCCCTCTGCCTCTGATCCCAAGTTCATAAAGAAAAGACATATGAAATATTTATAGCTGTATGTGTGTTTTTAACATAGTGTAATCTCTAATCCTAATGAGTTACTGACTTTCTGCCTCTTGTCCAGAAAATATGATCATTATTTCGAGATATATTTGACACGAAGTTTGATGCTGGTCCTAAGTATTTAAATCGGAGCACCTGGTCCGCTCTGATAGCTGCTCAGTACTCATTCCCTTTCATGGCATCTTGTCCTATTTTCCATCTTTGTGTAGTCAAAAACATCAACATGTGGGCGTCTTTGTGTCTGTGGATGAGGGGGGATGAATCCTTGTGTCATTTCTTTGTACTGTATATATTGGCACTATTACTAAGAAAATATATTAAATTACATTCGTTCGACACATGCTTTGGTCCACAGCAGTGAATTCATACTCAGGCTGCGTGTTTAAATATACAGTATATGTATACAATACAATATAGACTTTTTCTGTTTTTAATGTACCATACGTTTTTAAAAAATTAAAATTATACTCTAAATAAATAAATAAATAAGGACAAAACTAACAGAACTGAGGACGGGTGAATAAACATGCAGCAGCTGAAAGCAGCAACAGTAAATGATTTCATGTGGATTACACTGCTGCCCTGAGACTTTTATTTAACAGCTGAGAATTTTTATTTATCTAAAAGGATGAATCTTTCCACCATGATTTGTTCTCTGTAGTCCAAGGCATACATGATTAAATCAATGTGTCATTTAGATCCTAAGCTTGAAGACAGAAAGTGGTCATTTACTGGGCTGGTTGACCCACGAGGGTCTGAAATACACAGCTCTGCAAATCCCATGAGGTATACAGTGACAACTGATGTCTGGTTTTGGCAGTGCAGCATTAATTCTGTCGCATGTCAAACAAACGCGTCCAAATAATAATACTGGATCATAAGCTTAACATCTGATTCCTCATAAAAACCCAAACTAAGTCCTGACCTCTGATTCAGGAAACTCATCT